AGAGAGAGAGAGAGAGAGAGAGAGAGAGAGAGAGAGAGAGAGAGAGACAGGCAGAGTGTGTGTGAGCAGGCAAGGGGCAGAAAGAGAGGGAGGCACAGAATCCACAGCTGAGCCATCAGTACAGAGCCCAATGCAGAGCTCAGATTCACAGATCACAAGATCATGACCTGAGATGAAGCTGGATGCTCAATGGACTGAGCCACCCAGGTGCCCCTTAATTTTTTTCTTAACGTTTATTTATTTTGAGAGAGAGACAGAGTGCGATCAGGGGAGGGACAGAGAGAAATCTGAAGCAGGCTCCAGGCCTGAGCTGTCAGCACAGAGCCTGTCAGGAGGCTCACAAACTGTGAATACATGACCTGAGCCCAAGTTGGACACCCCACTGACTGAGCCACTGAGGCACACCAGGAGAGACAGAATCTTAAGTAGGTTCCATATTCAGTGCAGAGCCTGACAGGGCACTCAATACCATGACACTGGGACATGGCCTGAGCTGAGATCAAGAGTTGGACATTTAACTGACTGAGCCACCCAGGTGCCCTGGAGCAATGGTTTTAAATCAACAAGTTGAAAATATACACTATATGTCTAATAAAATTACTGTAATTTATTACTTCACAAATTTTTTCTTTTTTTGCAATATATAGGTGTCATTGATTGTTTTATATATATATATACACATACATACATATATATACACACATATATATGCACACACACATATATTTACATGCACACATATATCTCTGTGTGTATCTCTCTCTGAATATATATATGCATGTATGTATACATATATATTCATGTATTTTATATATATATATATATATATATATATATATATATATATTCATATTAAGTTTACTGACAATTTTCACTTTCCAGTCAGATAAAGTCCAGTCAGATAAAAAGGAAAAGCCAGATCTGCCTATGAAAGTGCAGGGATTATAGGTGATTAGTTTGGTTTTAGTACAACGCTGTTGGATCCATCTTTTCTTTTCTGATGCCAATGGAGACTGTTAAACTGAATAAGGAACAAGAAAATTGAATTCTTCATGATTTGTTCATTTAGTCAAGAAATGTATTAGTGATTGTCAAGTGGCAAAGGTCAAAACAAGAAAGGAGTAGCTATAAGAACCCATCATGTATTTTATACATACATGTCATTTCTCCTAGTCATTTCTCCATGTCATTCTCCTGTCATTTCTCCAGGATTCTATTAATGTAAAAGTTGAATTTATTAAACATTTACTCTATGACAGGAAAGTAATTCCTGTGGATTATTTACATGTAATATTTTGTAAAACTTTAGGAGGTGGTCTATACTATTACCATCATATGACAGATGGGACAACTTGGCACAAAAACGTAATTTATCCAAAGACATACAGCTAATAAATGGTAGACTTAGGATTTGAACTCAGGCAATTTAATTTTGGGGATCATGTTTTTAAGGACCACAGTACTCACTGGAGACATGGAAGAGAGCTACAAGCACATGGGGAGAAGTGGGGAGCAATGTTGAGAGTATTTTCAAAAGTTAGTCTCCCTGTCTAATACAAGTCTCTTTTCCACTGAGAACAACAACTGAACCCTGCTTATACTGCATTTCTCTTAGAATTTTTTTATTTCACACTTTGACATGCCACATTGAGACAAATGAATACAAATGACTTTTTCTTTATCTTCAGGATTCCTGATTCAGGATGTCCCTTTGGGGTCTTGTGAAAATAAATACTGTGGTTTGGGAAGGCACTGTGTCATCGGCAGAGAGACAGGGCAAGCAGAATGTGCCTGTATGGACCTTTGTAAACGTCACTACAAACCTGTGTGTGGATCTGATGGGCAATTTTACGAAAACCACTGCGAAGTGCATAGAGCTGCTTGCCTGAAAAAGCAAAAGATTACCATTGTTCACAATGAAGACTGCTTCTTTAAAGGTAAATACAGGGTGGACCTAAAGTGTCACCTTCTATGTCTTTCGTCTTCTCAACTACTGCCTTTAAACTTCAAGTTTAACCTCTAACACAATTTTATATCAGGAAATATTTAAAAGTGGAAAGGAAAAGATTGTGAGTTTAATCACACCAATAAACAGTAAGTATATAGAAATTTACATGGATACAATTCTGAATCTCAATTATGAGTACAAAGTTGGCCAAAATCTGACTCAAATTTAATATAGCTTACAGCATTGCACCATATGGCTTCCCAATCATGGCAGTTATCTTAGGACACAGAGAGGCCAATTCAGTCAACAGGCCAAATCCACCCAGTGGAAAGCACCTGGAGTGGAATTGAGTGAATAGTGAATGCCAAGCCATGCTGTGATAACATCTCCTTTCTTCCTGATTAAAAATGATGGGTTTCAGTTTGCACCACATAATTCAGATTATATGGAACCTGCAAATATCCATTTAAATAACTCTGAAGAACTCATGCTAATTTTAATTAGTAAATTTGAGATGACAATAATATAAAATCTGAAAGTATTGGTGTTTACTTTCATGGTACTCAAAATCATTGGTATTGTCTATGAAAAGGCACTGCTGATTTAGTGATTTGAAAAATTATTTTAACATGATATATAAATAAATCTTTGGACATTTTTAATGTTATTTATTTATTCACAAACTCATTTTCTATTTGCTTCTACTGGAGAGAATATTTGCTTATTAATTGTCATAACCCACACTGAAATTCTGAAGTCTTAAGTGTATGGAACGTCCATCATTCGAATAGGTCAGTGATCAGCTTGATTTCTCATCTTTGATTGGTTCCTCATCTCATTATTCATAATGTTCCTGAGGTTTACTTACAATTAAATCTTGTCTGATATTTTAATTCTTAGCTTAAATATATGACTGAAATATAATGTATTTCATCTGTGCACCAATTAAGGTAAATGACTAAAAACATTCCTTTTTTTCAAATTTGGTAGAATAAATAAAATATTATTTCCAAGGTAATAATAAAATTATGCACAGAACTTTTAAAATGATATAAGGGTAATACTCTAGTCAGTGTGGCCACTAGACACCTACTGATATAATTGAAGTAAAATTAGAAGAATAGTTTTCCTCACAACAGTAAACTATGTGCAACTTGAATACATGCACAGAAATTTTTATGGTATCAGATTATCTTCTTGTACAGAAAGAATATCAGTTGTTGTGGTTTCAAGTCTATTTACTCCCCTCTTCTATCAAGTCTATTTTACAAATAACTATAATTAATTCTATTAGCATTGTGCTTTAAAACTCATGAGAGAGTAGTGCGTGTGTGTGTGTGAGAGAGAGATTTGATTCTGTCATTTTTTTTTAAGTTTATTTATTTATTTTGTCAGAGAGGGAGAGAAAGAGGCAGAGAGAGAGGGAGAAAGAGAATCCCAAGCAGGTCCCCTGCTGTCTGTGTGGAGACTGATGTGCTGGGCTCAATCTCATGAACTGTGAGATCATGACCTGAGCTGAAATCAAGAATCAGATGCCTAATGACTGAGCCATCCAGGCGCCCCAATTCTGTCATTTTGACCTGAGATGGTACAGTGCAGATATTACTCTGCCAATGTTGTATAACATCCTAAAATCATATAAATAATATTCTATTAAGGTAATTTAGAATCATATTCCCAAAATGAAGTTTTGTCCAACCAACACACTGTAAATGATTATATGGAAACATATGATAGTAAATTATCACATGAGAAAAAACATTTGGAATATCTAATGTTCTACTCTATTGCTGGATGCTTTGGCATATTGCAAATCAATGTGTATATCAGTATGGAGGTGGAAGAACTGGATATAGCTAGGAACGTTGGCTTCCTTGTGAGTTCATAAAACAATGGTTTGAAAAATTTTTGCTTTTTAGACTGATACTCAGCATATTTATCACATCTATGATCGTTTCAAAATACTTTTTCACCATATGTAAGTCAAAGTACTTCCTTATCTCTTTATATGTAGTATTAAAATTTTATTAATATTGTCTGGGTTAGTTAGCAAGGATTAGCATGTTTCTTTGGTCTCAGAATTTGTGAGTCTTCTGCTTATTTATTTTGGGGTTTTGCCTAACATTTTTATAACTCACAAAAGGACTTTGCTTCAGCAGAAAGGAACTAAATAATATAGAACAAACAATAAGTTGCCTGTCTTATTGCTGTGCAGTTGGTCAAGTTTTAGGTGTAAAACAAGATTCGTTATAGCTGAAGGCCTGACATCATTGTGATGGCCAAAACTAATCCTTGTGATTGTGAACTCTATTTCCTCTAGAAAGTCTGTAATTTATATTGTTTACAATAATGGCCTAAAGGAAGAAGCAAATCAAAATATTAAGTTCATGAAATGCTAAAAACCTATATTTAATTAGATTTTTAATAAAAAAATCAAAACTAAATAACAGGAACAAGTTTTCCTCCTTTGGGGGAAAAATTTGGTAGTTTAGATCTAATAAAGGTAATTAAGCAAACCTTAGAACATTAGTCAACGAACAGGAAGTTAGAGGCCAAATTCAGGATCCAGTCCATTTTTTTTAAAGCAATGTGTTATTGAAACAGAGCCACACCTGCTAATTTAGGAAATTTTCTTTGGTTATTTTTGCACAACAAAAGGAGAGTTGAGTATTTGCAACAGAGATAGTATGGCCCCCAAAACATAAAAAACATTTTGTCTGCATCTTCCCAGAAAAAGCTTGTTAACATCTGCTTTAAAAGATTACCAGCGCCTTAAAATTAATTATTTAAAATATTGATGGGTATTGGAGCAACTGTGTGGCTCATTTGGTTGAGCATCCGACTCTTGATTTCAGCTCAGGCCATGATCTCATAGGTTTGGGAGTCTGACCTGCATCAGACCCTGCACTGACAGTGTGGGAGCCTGCTTGGGATTCTCTCCCTCTTTCTCTCTCTCTCTCTCTCTCTCTCTCTCTCTCTCTGCCTCTCCCTTACTTGCTCATTCTTACCCTGTATCTCAAAATAAATAAATAAACAAACACATTTTTGTAAAATATTGATAGATTATTACTATCCTATATCTTCTTGGCTATGGTGGTGAAAATAGGGACATACTCATTGTTACATTTGAATAGAAATACACACACACACACACACACGGTTACAAGTAAAACAGGAAATCTGAGTAATATCAGTGGGTAGTATTAAAGATGATATGTTGGTTATGATATTGTACTACAGCTTTTCAAAATGTTACTATTGGTAGAAACTGGGTAAAGGGAACAAGGAATCTCTGTATTATTTCTTACAACCTCATATGACTATTACAAACTCATATATACAACATCATTCAACCTCATATGACTCATATAACCTCAATAGAAAGAGTTTAATAAAAAAAAAACCTGGAAACTATTAGCAAATACTAAGACAATTTTAAAGAAAGTATGGTTTGCATTATTCATTAATTATTTCAATTTTAGGCTAAGACCTATTTCACATATCAAATTTATCAGGTTTATGTTTGCCATCTATGCTTAAACTTATTAAAATTATATTTGTATAATCATGCTTATTGATTGTTTTAAAATTAAGATTAGAGTGTAAGTTAAAAGGACTTACATTTCCATCTTTATACATATGTATATGCTTATAACTATATCTATATATCTTCCTTTTATTTGTTAAATATTTGAATGCCTCTATAGTGTGCTTAGCATTTACTCTTACTGACACTTAAATAGAGACATTAATTCACTAAGAAATTTCTTTAATGATTTATAATTTCTGGAACTATAAATAAAGCATCTAATATACCTAGTAATAAAACATCTTTAAATTTATTTCTATTCACATTTATGTAATTACAAAGAAACTGGCTATAGTAAGAAAGAATAATGTAGCATTTGTTTTTTTGGAATCAAAGACTTTAAGATGACATTTGACATATGCTGGGGATGAAAACACTTTTATCTATGTTTCTACATTCTTCTGGATGGCCTAATCATCAAATTGACATGAGACAGATAAGAGGAGAAAGATAAATTTAATTATATATACATAGGGCCCCCAAGAGAATATGAGATCCACTGACAGGGAATTGAGGTTTATATGCAACCCTGAAGTAAGAAGAGGGTAAGGGTCTAAGACTTCAAACGGGAGAAGATAATTCATAAGTAGATGGAAGAGAAAACATTTGGGGGGGTATATATATATATATATATATATATATATATAT